GGGAAAGAAGAACATTTTCTAGAGCTAGATATATGTTATGATTTTCATAAACAACATTGTGTAAACATAGAAGGAAAAGAAAATATGCTGTCAATTAAGTGTTGATGGAAAATTCTAATTAGTGTTTTATGTTACCTTGCAGATAAAAGTCTGCAGAAAAGTTATATTATATGGTCATTGTTCTAACATAACTTACTGATGCCTTGGTTTCCATGTTTAGTTTTTTCACTCTAGGTGACAATGGCATCAAAGGTGACTATCTGTTTTGAGTATCTCTAAATGTCTGTTGAAAGAATACCTATTTTCCTGATGGTTTTGAGTCATTCACTTGGAAGGAAAGCCATATTCTTATTCACTCCAGCAAAGTGGGGAACCATTAAATAATAGTGGCCTTGGTTTGAACGAATCTCAGAGGAATTAGTTGAATTTTAGGTTTGAGGCAAATATCAGAGAGATTGACACCAGTCTGTGTATCGCTTACATGTGGTAGTACGTAGGCATATGGATTCAAGGAGCAAGCAAACATGTTAATAAAACAAAAATCCATTGAGGATCGCTAACTAGATAGAAAACAGCTCCAACTCAGAAACGCCCTAATTTAAAGATGGTTGAAGTTTGGATGAATACTAAGGAAGTACCATGTGCACTAGCCCTGTTCTTAAGCTCTTCCTAAGCGTCAGCACTCAGCTGCAGGCAGAGATAGGATGATGGGCTATAGGGACATCAGCTTTGAGTCAGTACTGTTTTTTTGTAAGCCATCTTGGAAATGTCCCTGTAGAAAAATGAAGCATGTTTAAAATGATTATAAGACTCATCATAAGTAAAATTGATCTTAAGTGTGTGTTAGTGAGTAAAAATACATGAAGAATACTTTACAGTCTCTTTCTTTGTAAGCTTTTATTCTGCCTTCCTCTGTAGCCGATGTTATTGGGATGTTTTTTATTAAATTTGGAAAGCACAACTCATTCTGTTTATTTAAATTCTATATAAATACATTGTGGCATGAATAAGTTATTGATTGTCCGCTCAGCTACTCTGTCTCATAAATGCCTCTGCAAAATTCTAAGACTCATTCTCCACATTTAATTCCCTTTATAGTATAATTCCCATTGTCTTTGCAAGATGGATAAATTTCTAATGTGCCAGGTGGGGCTTACATATAGAAGATATATTTCTCCTCTCTTGGAGGTTATACCACCGATTTTCTTTACTAATTCTTTTGGCAGAAATCATAAAGAAAAACAATGACATTTTAATCGAAAAACACCTTTTTTTTTTTTTTCCTTTTTGACAAAAATTACTGAAGTGGAAAGAAATGTTCTTAGACTTAGCTTTTCTCAGTATAGCATATGAAGTACAGTCATATTTCTTATTCTGTGACATATAACTTAGTGCAGGATAATCCCACAGATCTCTCCAACCTCACGGTAATAACTTACAAACTCTTTAGTGTTCTACAGTAAGAATTTCTCCTAGCTAATGGTGAAAGCTATCAAGTAAGATTTGGATCCTTAGTTTAATTTCTGTCTTTTTCTGTACTTGTTATGAAATGTTAACTAGGAGGCATTATCTTTTCTTAATTTTTCTAATATATATAAAAAGATTAATGAGAAGTAGGGTTTTTTGGAAAGCTATCTTAAATCAGTAATGAATTTCCTTAGCTATATAAATATCTCCTGCCAAGCACATTTTTTATTCACCTTTCTTTTTACTTAGATCCTGAATTTGCCTGAAGTTAGTAAGGATTCGAGATACAAAACTAATACACTCAGAGTCCAGAACAGAAAAGAACTTATTGACATATTGTCAACCCGGTAAGTTAATTAAAAGAGAAGAAATGACATTTCATCTCTTAATGCAAATAATCATGTATAAGAAGCTCTCATCATGTGAAAATTTTACTTTACTCTTTTGAGATACTGTATTTTTTTAAAAAAGTACTGAGAACACCTACTGATGTTAAATATACTGCCTTTTGCACACAGACTATAGTGTGGACTAGCAAGAAGCCAGACCACAGATTTAAGTTTTCAGAAACTATTTTAACTTATTTTAAACCATTAACTTGAATTTTAGTGAAATGACCAGTGCTTTCTGCTTTCCTGGGTGAATGTAACTCCTGGAAATAAAATGCTTGGAGCACTGTTTGCTTTTGCTGTAACTGGGATTTTAAAGTTTTCACTGAGAGTTGCTGTATCCAAGTGAGGTCCCACTTGATGCTACTTCCAAACTGCTGGTTCTGTATTGTGGTACTCTGTGCCCCAAACTCTCCCTGGGTCAATCCTTTTGAAATCAAAAGGATATGTGCTTAATATTCTGTGTGGGAATCATCCTATTAAATACTTTATTTAAAACTTATTTAAGAGATTAAAATAGCTTAGTTATCTTCCTCATTCTGTTTGAGAAGATCTTATTTCTGTGGAGTGCTCTTCTGTTTAATGGAGAGGATGATAAACTTATATGACATAAGAACAAAACTAATCTGTGTAAAGCTATCCAATGGTGGCTTCAGCAACACTTCATGCTTCAGGGGACAAGCAGAAGAAGCAGTATATCTACTGTTGTCGATGATTCAATAAAAGTCACACTGTCATTTTGACACTTTGCCTGTATGCGTCTTTGTCAACAAATGTGTAACGATTATCATTCAGGCTTTTTTTTTTTTATTTTTATTTTTTTTTTAGGAGCATTAAAGGAGTCAGATGCCTCCCCTTTTCATTCCATCTGAGAAACAAATTTCAGTAGCACACCCCTCCCGCTCCCCTCAACCTCACACATTTTTTGGATATTGAGAACCAGAATCACCTTGCCATTAAAGACTGTAGAGAGAGTGATTTTGCCTCTTTCTGTTGCACTTGCACTTTTGTCTCTGTCTTACCTGTCCAGTTTCAGGTCTCCCGCCCCTGATGAGATACTGAAGTACGAGGTGACTTTCCATTTTCAAACAATTATGGTGCAACTGTTCACAATGAACTTTTGGAACTTGTCTTTTATTTGACTTCCTATAACAAACGAACCCACTCTTCCTCTAAGTTTTAAGCCCTTGAAAGGGAATGGTTATCTTCTGACCTACTTTTGAGCTCTTACATTCTCGACGCTTAATCTTAGTTTCAAAATTGATTCATGTCAATTTATTACTTGGAGTTCATTTCATTTAATATGGCATTTATCTGAGGTACTCTGGTACCTTGTGAGAGTGCTGTTTTGCCTTCCACAGATCAATTACTTAATAGCTTGTTGCTTGTGGTTAATTTTGAATGCAGGTTTGTTTTTTTTTCTTTTTTTATGGGTGATATCTGAATAAGAATATAAAGTTCAAGAAACAGTTGTTCTTTGAATGAATGGCCAGAATTCTAATTTGTTTTTATATCTGTAGCTATTAGTTCATCAGATTACCTCATTGCTCTTTCAATTACTGCTTTATGTCTTTTTTTTTTTTTTGTCAGAGTTTATGTTCTGTTTTATTAGCATAATTTAGGCTGAATTTCTGTGTAATTTATATGCAAGTACAGATGTGACTGTATACATACTTTTGGTGTAGACATTTCCAATAGTATTCTGTTATGTCATATTATTGTGAATTCATCTGTCATTCAGTTTTAAAACACTGACTATAACAAACACCTTTGGCATTCTAATGGAGGCCAAATATATTTCCATACACATTCCATGGTAACTTTGCTTTTATTCACTAATGCACAGTTGTTTGTAAAATTATATGTGGTTCACTTTTGAAGTTACTTAGAGAATTAAATGAATAGCTTCTCAGTGCTGAAAAATGTCAGCCCTTGAGAAATGAAGGGAAATGACAAAACAGTAACGGTGAAATTTCCCTGAGAAATACCTTAATTAAATCACTGATTGCTTGATAGTATTGCAGCTTCCAGCACATGGAAAATATAAACTCAAGGTGCATTAGTTGGATAGAAACACCTGCAGACCCTCCCATTCATTCACTATATGTAAACTGCTATCCACCTTACAATGAATTTGTGGAGACACGAGCTGGAGCAGCTTAGAAGAGCTATGATATTTTTTTTGGCATGTGTTCCACTACAGTCACTTTTGTTGAGATGAGCTCCTCCTTTGTGTGGTGGAAGGTAAAAAGGAACATGAAAGTCCTTTAAAGATTTAGTCAGGCCATTCATCCATGTCTCATTTTGATGCTGTGCCAGGCAGGTTGCATAAGACTTGAGGCAAAGCAGCTTTTTTTCCAGTGATGTTGCAATGGAGAAAGTGAGCAAACTTGTTTGGTGTGCCAGGCTGTGCAGTAAAAAGCAGGTAAAAATTTGCATCTATGTTTAGGAATCTGGTGATTCCTAAATGTTCCTTCTCTTTTCTACAAGCTTGGAGACATAAATGGGAATTATGGTCCTGTGGTGGAATCCTTTGAGAGTGTTGCTGCTGGTAAGGCCAGTGAAATGATTCACAGATACGGTCTATGTCTCAGCATCTGAACAATAATTATGGTGACTAGAAGCACATCAGAGAAAGCATATAGTTGTGATTCCTTCCATTTACTCCAACCTCTTTTGCTGCCATTTTCAGTTTATACATCCTTCCTGTTCCTCTAAGTCATTGGTATTTTAAGCACCATTTGTAGGGCTGATACTTAATACTCTTTGCACTTGCTTGCGTATGTCACTGCTGTTGCACAGTAGATACATGCAGACTTTTTTTTTCCAAGCTGCATATGCTGTTATAATCTTGTTAAGCTGAGGTCCTACCAGAGTTTAGAGTATGCTTCCATTGACCTATATAATGTGTCCTCTTCCTCCTATCTGTTTTGACCTATTTCTGGAGGTACGACTTACCTTTTCCTTTCCTATTTTTCTTAATTTTCAAAGTGGACTAACTGCAATTCATGTCTAACTTATGAGCACTTAGTAAGTACATGAAGAAGGATTCTTAACCTCCTTCTCTTCAGGAAAAGGATTTCCCAGGTTTTATTTAGGAATAGAAGGAGATGTTCAAACCTACTCAAAGGGTCAGAAACTCCCTGAAGTCTTAAGTGTTTAATTCACAGCATGTGTGGAGCTGAAATTTTTAAAAACATCTGAACTCTGAATACCAAGGAGACAGTTGATGCCTTTCATTTGCTAGGGTAAATGTTAAGCGATTCAGACTCTTTGGCCACAGTTTTATTCTAGATGTGTGCACAAAGGAAACATTGGTACAATCGGTCAATGTTGAGGAATGCTATTTTTTTAAAAAAGGCTGTATCTTGGGAATTCTTGACTCAAATGACCTCTAATTTAGATCAATAATTCTACTCACCACCTGCAGTAACCATGCCAGATTTCAAGGCAGTTAGATAAGCATGGGGATTATATAGCACTTAGAAGAAATTGACCTTTAAACAGAAGACTTTTCAGAAAGGTGTGAAATGACCTATTCATCACAGTCGGATGTCCTGAGCTGAGTGAGAATACAAGATGGAGATGAATATGGCTTGAGACATAAGCGTAGCTTGAAACAACAGCTCTGAGAGGTGTGAATTGCTCCATTCATTTCAGAAAGTATTTTCTCATCCTCTCTCTTCCCTGACAGAAACGAGTGAAGCATATTTGTCATTAGCTCTCCACCACAGCTTGCTGTCTGCTTACAACATCTCAACTCCCTCTGTAGACTACACATGGAAGAGAGAGGGGGCGAGGGGGAGAGCAGGTAGGGGAGGATAAATTTTCATATCCATAGAGATTGTGAGATCTCAGTAAAAGGGACTGGCAGGTAGACCACTCTGGAGTGGTATGCTGCTTCCAAGAGACCCAGCTCTCACAGTGGGGCAAGAGGCAGGAATTAAAGAAACCAGTCCCAGACTTCCTGAGAGGGGGACTGTTCTTCAGTTCCATCTTCTAAGGGGAAATGAGTACAATGCTGCAAGGACCACCAGGTCATAGGATATTCACAGGGAAGAAGAATATAGGCCTATGGGTTATTTTGTACTTGCTTTGCTGCTGGTGGTGGTGTCCCTTTCCCATTTCTGGTCCTCTTCCTGCTACCCTGTTGTTTTTTTCTCCTGTCCCCATCATCTTCCTCCAGCTCCCCCATCTTCTTATTTCCTCTTTCTCTTCCCGCTGCTGACATTTGCACATCTACTACGTTTGCTTTATAAAAAAGGAAGTTTCGGTGCCTTCTGTATCCTCCTCTTTATTTAGGTGACATTTTCCCCAAATGACAACAAAGCAGAACTCTGACAAAAGCAAATTGCCTCTGAATGCCTTCCTTTCTTGGGTGTGTGCCAAGAGTCAAATTTAAAATGACCCTACCTGGGTGGAGGTCAGGTTCAATGGCTACTACAGAGGCCCCTGAGACTCCCAGCTCATGTGAGAACTGACAGACTACAGAGCCCTCTGTTTTTTATGTTTCCAGTGGAAACCTCTGGTTTGTGAGTTAGATGTACAGCTATCCACGAGAACCGAGTTTTAATTGTTGCTCCGTTCCCCACCCCCACCTCTCTTCCACTTTTACCTTTGCTTCCTCTGCAACAGAATAGTACCAGGCACAATGTGGATTATTCTGTGCATGTGTATATACGTATGTATCAAGACATACATATATAGTGTGCACTTGAAATTTGAGATGCATCTGTGGAAAAGCTGGTATAATGCCAGTTTTAGGACAAGCTTCTTTGGGGAAAGGGGGTTAATCTGTTGACCTGCTTCTTCAAATTACTCTGGAAGTTGGATGTTAATCCTACTCTGCACCTCAGTAATGCATACACATTTTAAGACAGAGCAGCTAAATGTGTAATCCAAGGTACTTTGGGAACATAACCTGTAAATGGAACAGAGGGTGTGGGGTTGTGTGAGAG